TAGGAACTCAGTAGAGTCTGCAACTTTTGACAAAGCACTAATTTACTGCAAGGTGTTATCAGAGATCTAAGCTGACTCTCACTTTGGGCACAGAGCTTAAAATGATCTTTATTTATTTATTTAAAATTATTTTTATTTGTTTTTCACATCATTCTTCATTTTCTGTATTTTCCCATCTTAGTTGTAATCCCTGTGGATTTTCCACTACCAGTTCACCCATGTGCCATCACCATAGTCCCGTGTGCTCGTCCCACCTCAGTTTTGATCCCATTCCCCTCTGCACCCCTGTAAAATATCTCTGGTTTATAGTTGTTCATTATTTTTCATCTTTACTTTATTACAATTGCTTTTTTTTTTTTAACTGATCTTTTTAGTCAGTATACTTCTTGGAAACTGGAACTCAATTCATGAAATATTTTAGGAAGGTTGGGTGAGGAGGGAGTTGACCTTCTTGGGGCAAGAATTACTTCCTGTTCAGTGCCTTTGGGACAGTTCCAGAGGCATAAACTGTGTATTTCTTTTCATATTTCCCTGAGCTGTGTACCTTTTGATCTTTTTAGAATTTACTGCTTTCATTACTAGAGAAAAGGGAGTGTAGAGAAAATGACTTATTTTACTACTGGTTAGCAACTATGGGTTGGTCCAGGAAGGTGAAACTAATTGCTGAACGAATCCTTGTGAGTTTTTTAAAGATGGATTCATCCTCTCATGAATTATTGAGAATCACATATAGTTATAAAATTGTATGTAAAATTAATACATTTTTCATTACACAATTATTTCAGACCATCAAGAAAAACCCCAGAGTCCTATCTATTTGGAAATGTGTGTGTTGGGGGGGGGATGAGGAGGGGGAATGTAGAAATGTCCTGGGTATTTTGAGGGAAGGTGGTGGGAGGATACAATTGGAGATGAGGTCGGGAAGGGAGGGTGCAGGTGGCAGAGGCCAGCTGAGAGGCTCCTGAAAGTTCAGTGCCCTGTCCTCTGAGTTTCCGACTTGTTGACTCTAGGATACATATTTGTATATACTAAAAAATGAAGAAATAACCCCCCAAGGACTGGATGCAGATATTCCTTGGGAATCTTTCAGTAGTTGGGGCAGGGCATTTCATGGTCCTGGCAGTTGTTCACATGCCCACCCTGCTCGCGGTCACTCTGTCACTGTGTCCTTGTGTCCAGCAGTGACACGAGGTAGCTCCAGGACTGGCTTCCTCAGGAGCTGGTGCTGCGTATGGGGCAGTGTAAGTGCCAGGAAGGATATGAAAAATGCCTCACTGATTCACATCAGGACAAAGTAATGTGACTTTTCAGATTAGCAGATTGAAATCTGTTGCAGTCACTCAGCATTTCTATTTTGGGTCTGGAGAGCATGTCTCCAACTGTTTCATCATTTTCTACTCTCTCTCCAGACCCTCCAGCTCCTTCTGCTTTTTAGATGTTTTGATTTTCCAGGGATGTTGAAGCCTTTGTCTTGAATGTCTTGATTCTTTGCTGGGGAGAGAAGAATTGTTGGATCTAATCCTTTAGCATTGACTGTATTCCACTGCAGAATTCTCAGATTGAAGCTGACCTGAGTCTTCCATCACTACTAGTTGAATGAGTGAATACATGAGCATGTGAGGACACGAGTACAGAAGAACAAAGCACCAAAGAACAAAGCATAAGATTCTGTTAGGAATTCTACTAAGGGACCCGCTTAGTGCTGGGCTCTTTGCCAGGGCACTTTCACTGACACTGATTAACTTTGCACACTGGCTACAACGTCTAGGACAGAAAATTTGTATTCCTGCGTGGTATGTGAACTTTTATGCATTTCGTTTCTTGAGTACACCAGAAACTACAGACTATGGTTAGCTCTCTAAGGCAAATATGTATTCTCCCATCCCCACCTCATGCCTTTGCTGGTCCCAACATCTGTGCAGTTGTTTGGACATTTACCAGGAGGAGACAGCTGAGAGAGACAGTGCTTGAATGTTGTAGAATTGCTCTTCATGAGTAGTGAAGTAACTTTTTTTGTCTGTCTCAATCAAGTGATAAATAAGATATTTAGAATTCAATTAAAATTTGCTTTATTTTCTGGGAACAGCAAAATTAGAAAACTCTTTATCTTTCCTTTTTCCATTATTTTTCTCTTAAGGACCAACTTTGCCAAATTGAAACAGGATTAATCGCTTAAAATCATCTATCGACTTATACTGAGCGCCTTTGCTTTAGCTTTTCCTTTAATTTGTTAGTAGCAGTAGAGTTGACAGTGAGCAAAACTGAAACTTCTGTTTAGTTCCCACTGTCCTCAAACTCACCACTACCTCAAAGGAGAGTGTATATCTCTTCTTCTTTTTGCCCATGTTTAGTTCTAAGATTGAAAATAGTAAATAATATTCTTTCATCCAAAAATGATGTTCCAAAGTAACTTCACCTTTGGCTTCATGTGTATTACATTTATTGTCAATCGACTTGGTTAATAGCAGTAGTTGTGGGGAAAAAACTGGGTGGACACCTGAGGTATTTGGGATACAGTGTGTCTAGACAGGTATGGGTGTTTCTCCCTCACTGTTTCTTGAATCCCTTGGCAGGAAGAGGCTGGAAGGAACAAGAATGAATTGAGTCCTTGAGCGGGTTCTGGGAGTGGCTCACTCATAGAGAGTAGCGCCTTTTTGTTGGATGCCATGTGTGGGGGAAGCAGCCTCTCTCCTCTCCAGGTGCTGCAGGGGACTCACCTGGCACAGCCTTGTTATATGAGAGACCGTGCAGGGTAATGCCATGGGCAGGGACCCTGGGACCAGACGGCCTGGGGAGGTGGGGGGTTAGTCCCTGTTCTGCCCATTATGGGCCTCAGGCAGGTTCCTTAACCTCCTGGTACTGTTTCTTCATTTGTAAAATTGGAATGATGAATATCTGGCCATTCACCATAAACATCTTTGCCACCAATGTCATCACTACATAATCATTACTACATGGCAAATTGACTGTAAGGCAGTTTTGTCATAAAAAAAGAAGACATGGCCCCTCCCTGGTGGCGCAGCGGGTTAAGGCGCAGCACTGAGAAGCTAAAGCCACTTCCGCATGAGTTCCATCCCCGCCTGCCCCTGAGGGAGATCCACATGGCGTGGCAGACCTCTCCTGACCCGCCCGCTGCTCCCCTCAGCAGTGTACTTCGTCAATCTGCCTGTTCTGCTCCCCGCTCTGTCTCTGGTGAATCCTCTCACCCTCTGCATCTCTGGCCTGTACCCCAGTTCCATATGAATAAATAAATAAATCTTTAAAAAAAAAAAAAAGATGTAAAGACATAATGGACTGACCCCTAACCCAGTGTATTTATTAGTTTATTTAATATATTTTAATGTACCTTTGGATGTATTTAAGCTAGTTGTCAGTTTGGTTTCACTTCTTCATTGAAGAAGTAAGAAACTTTGCAAATGGGTATGTTAACATTTTCTATTATAGTCGTCTGCAACCTGGGTTTACACTCCAGCTTCACACTTCTAACCCATCTCGCCACCAGGAAATAAAACAAAAAGAGCATAATACTATGAATGAACAAAAAAATCTGGGAAGACAACTGCTTAGGTATAAGCCACAAAGGACACTCAGTGTGCTGGGAATCCACACACTTGGCGTGCGTACACACAGGAAGTCATCTTTCACCATGTCCTTTCAAATGTCGCATTTTTATTTTTCATTTTTTCTCTCTGATGGCAAAATTGTATCATGGCCATTTGGTTATGTGATGAAGATATTTACAGAGCAGATGCTGGTGGCAAAACTACTTAGCACTGGGATGATGATAGTAGCAACCTTCCAGGGCTGTCACGAGGCTGGATGTTAATACACGTAGAGTCTTAGAATAGTGCTGCCAGGGAGTAATGGCTCTGTCAGGCTTGCCGTGGTGATGGTGATGTTCCAGAAGCTCTCATGTACATCCTGTGGATATCCCACTCATGCATATCTTCTAGTAACTGATCCAACCACCCAGCAGATTGAATATGTTCATGGACAGGTACTGCCTGTAGGAGCTGAGGCTTTGGGGATTAAGACTTAGCTCCTGTCTCTTTGGGGCTCTTTGTGAATCTGGTTGTTTTTGACCACTGTCAACTGTGGATGTAGAAAGAGCTTGACAAATGTGTCAGGAAGGAAACATACAAAGAATGAAAGAATGAAAAGTGATTGGGTGGATATTGTTTGTACTTACAAGACTTGAAGCTGTGGAGCCTGGAGGTGCGAAAGCCCCCACCCTGGAGGGCTTTCTCTCTCTCAGGCTCTCCCTCAGACTCCTGGAGGGCTCTCTCTCTTTCAGGCTCTCCCTCAGCCTCCTGGTCCCAGAGTCACAAGTTTGAGAGATGCGGAGAAGCTTACAGAGCTAAAACTCTCTCACACTAGCATCTGGTGACCCTGCCCAGAGCTCTGGCAGTGTGGGGCGTGAGCTCTGTCAGTGCTCCCTCCTCTTGGGGAGAATTCCTTGGGAGAGTCCCAGTGCTCTGAAGCTGGGGCTTGGAAGAGGAGGGGGTTCATCTTGGGGCCATAGCAGCTGAATATACAGCATGAACAACATTCGGGGATGAGATCACTTCTGTTTTGGGAACCTAAAGACAAACACAGTTACATCTGTGCATGTGATCATTGCCTTCCTTCAGATAGTGCTAAACCAGAAAGGAATCCACTGGAAGGCCATTGGCAGCTCTCAGAAGGAAAAGCATGTATTATAAAGGACCCGGCCTCACTAGGGTCCCTAGGCAGTTCTGTGCTTCTAAATATTGAGGAAACTAATGAGTAGTCTTTGTGGGACTCACATGAGGATGGATAAGCCACAGTTGTTTTCCATCTTAATGTTCTTCCCTGGAAATTTAAATTCCTGGAAAGCAAGTTAGCCAGGCCATCTGCCCATCTCCTCACCTAAAGATCCACTAAAGCTGCAGCTGGGGAGACAGGGAAGGCAGAGCCTGACACAGGTGCCCCCCAATGATGAAGACCTATTTCCTAATCTCTGGCTTGTTTCGTTTCAGATCATCTCTCAAACGTATGTTTGAGTTTCAAGAGCCTGGCCTGGGGTTGCAGTGGGCATACTGGTAAGTATGTGTTCATGGCAAAGGGGCATGGAGGAGGTGGTGTTCCCAGGTGTAAGCAGCTTCGTGATACCTCTTGGCCTGCAAGCCGCAGGTCACGAGGGCGGCCAGTCCCAGTGTTTCCTCAGTGAGGCCTGTGCTTGACCATCTGGATCATGTGATGGCATTAATCTCACCAGCTCTGCTCCCTCTCTTCATTCACTTTGGTGCATTTGGGTTTTCTGAAGCATTTATCCTGAGTGGGCATTCATTAACGTAACCATCGTGATCTAGAAGGAACAAAAAAATAGGAGTAGGTAGTAGGCTGGATGGAAAAATAATGCATTTTGCAAATGATACCTGGAGTGCTGATTTTAGAAATGAGAAAAATGTTTGGTCTTCGTGTGGCACAGGGCAGTGCAGGGCACAGTAAATGCAAGGGAAGTGCCAGAGGGGTCCTCACCACTCCAAGTGGAACACAGCCATTCAATGTCAGCAGAATGACATAGTCCCTTACATGACGTTGGTGGTATTTTGCCTTTCATGGACTTCACAGTTTTGGCTGAGTTTAATTTGTACATTGCTTTTACAGTGGCATGAGACTACCAGCACGAGATGCAGAGAGGTCACTTGTACTTCCCTTAATTTAATCAAATGATGCTAAAAATAACTTTAGCCAACCCTGAAGGTCCTTGAAGAATTTTCTTTTTTCACGAGGGAAATATCTTATTAAAGTTTTAGACATGCTCATCTGTGAGAGACACTTCTCTCACCTCACCTCTGGGTGAGGCATGTACTTCCCACCCTGGGGGTGTCAGGCTTGGCCATCTGACTTGCTTTGGCCAGTGGATAATGCCAGACACAAGTGCAGAAACTTGAAAGGAGCTGGTGGCTTGGATACCTCCCTTCCCCTGAGGGAAGCATCTCAGCTGTTGTTGGCCCAAGGAAGATGGCAGACATGTTGAAATGACCTGAATCTGGCTGAGAGCAACTTAGGTTAGCTAACCTCTAGCCAACTAAGAGGCATGAACAACAAATAAATCCTTATTTTTGAATGATACGGAGATTCCATGGTTGTTTCCCAGACAGCATTATTGTGACAACAGCTGACTGATAGAGTCTAGCATATTGACTAGTTAGCCACACCCTGGAGGATATAAGCTTGGAATTTATTGAGCACATACTGTGTGCTAGTTATTCTTACAGGTGCTGAGACAGACCAAGTCTCAGCCTTTATGGAATGTCTATGGAAGGTCAGTGACTTTTACTTCATTGTTTATGTAGCTGATGAATGCTTTGTTTTTGCCCTTTATCAAAAAGACAAACTTTTGGAAAGTGACACGTGTCTTGATAGATGTGATTTTGTGTACATATTGATTTTATGTGGAACAAAAAGCTGGGGAATAACTTGACTCCTGATGTTGTTATCATCATTATCATCAAAGCAGTCTTTGCTAAGGCTTTTCTTTCTTGACTCATGTCTAGAAACGTCTAGAAAAGAATATTAAAATAGATGAAAAAAATAAGAGCATCATCACTCTGTCTACCAATTTTGCTCTTGGTTGGTTTTGCTTCATACAGAGTTTTGACTGGGTTCCAGAACTAAAAATAGCTTCTCAGTGTACGTGAAGTCTCACCAGAGTAAATGGCTGTGTGTGTGCTGATATTTATGCATGTCTGAAAATTCTGTCGACTATGGAGTGCTGTGGAGGCTGTTTTGGAATGAAAACATCGTCCCAGGAAGGGGCTTTGAATGTAATGTTGAATACATTTGAAAATATTATTCAAATGACTAAAAAGTTCAGTTTTATGCATTTAAGACGATTGGGAATCAGCAGCAACATTTCACATTGCTTGTTTCATGGAGAGCAGGACTGAAATGCAGCTGTATATACTCAAGTCTCAAAGACCTTAACGCTGCAAGACCTTGTTTAGATTTAAGTAGAAGGAAACAAGGCTTGCTTGTCCAGGTGAGCACTGATGGGTACTAACAAAGAGAAGGCAATCTGAGAGATAACTTATTGCAGTTTGGAATGCAGTGAAGCTTGGAGTTTTTTCTTTTGATGTCCAGCTCTCTTGTCCAGGTGTCAAATGCCAGGCTCTGGAGCTGACAGGGTAACCCAGTTGACAAGGTTATGACATTATGACAGACACCTGGATGTCGATCGGAATCACAAAAGATCTTTTCCCATCCACCCGGGGTAATCCACTGGTCAGGGAAATCTATTTTCATTGTTGGGTTTCTCCCTCTGTTCATTCCCAGAGAGCCACCGTCCGACTCTCTGGTTTATCTCCAAGTTTCCTCTGGGGAGAAGTAATGGGGGTAGATTCATATGTGCGGGGTGTGCTGTCAGCAGGGAGGTTTGCACCATCCTGAGTCCATACAGATGTGGCCGATTGGAATGATAAGAAATGAAGGAAGACAGACTATTGCTTTGGTTCCAAACATAAACAACACTACCAGGCTATGCAACATAGGGAGACTTTTTTTTGCCAGTTTTAAGGCATATTTTAGGCACATCTGCAAACAATGTTTTATTTCTAGGTGAGTAAGTTGGTGGCTACTTTCTGACTGAATAAAACCAGAAATATTCAGGACACAGTTGGGCATTACACAGTTGGATCTGCTCTCAGTGATGGTGGATTTCCCGGGCTGGCAGCCTACTGCATCTCAGGGCTGGGTGCTGTGGCTGGTCTGTTTTGATGATCAGGTTTTGGGTTTTAGTCAAGGGCGAGGTACTGCAGTTCCAGCAGAAAAGGATTAGTGTTGTGGAAACTGGAGCTGACTTTTGGTCCTGTTCCAGAAGCAAGCCCTTCATGTGGGTCTTTGGTTCCAGATGTAACTAAGAAGGAGCAGGAGAAAGGAAATCATTATTTACCTGGGGTCAGGGCTCAGTGATGCTGGCCAGGGCCTGGATTTGGAAGCGAGGTCTCCTGAGAGAAGCTGCCTCTGGTGGTTGGAACCAGAGGCCTGGGGAGCAGTGGTTGTGAAAGTGGGTCTTCTGGCCAGCGTCCCCCTTACTGCTGGGAACTTGTTAGAAATGATCCATTGCCCTGCTCCAGACCTGATAATTCAGACACCCTGAGTGCAGGGTCCCTGGCAACTTGTTCTAAGTGAAACCTCCACTCCCTGAAAAGCTAGCTCCCTTCTGGGATCCTAAATTGAGAACTTAGAACAACGCTAAAGAGAACTGAAGGACACCAGGGTTCCCAAATCTGTCATTCAGGAATGGGGACAGGCGGGACAGGCAGGGCTCATGGAATAAAGAGTCTCCCCTTTGACAGAACAGTTAGAAATTTTGGTAAAATGGTCTTTTTTAAGAGATCCTCAAGTACTCATTTATTTCTCCCTCCCCAGGTTACATTAGCATAGCAGTACTTCATGGCATATCATAAATTTAGAAAAATGAGTGCTAAGGTCAATTTTGATAGTTGTTAGCAGTTTTTTTTTTCCTCTTATAGTCTAATCCGTCATGGTTTTCCCGCAGTTTATTTTTCACTTTGCTTATTTTTAAACATTCATTCGTTCTTTCAAAATACTGTGATTAAAAGGTAATTTCCCCTTAATACTACATCACAGGAAAGGAATAAGAGAGCTGAAAGTCAGACAGTGACTTAGATGAATCTTAAAATGAAATGTTGCATGTGGACTCAAAAGAAATAATTTTAACCCAAACTGAGAAGAATAATAGATCAAAGCAGGAAGAAAATCATGGTGCCACAGTGAAATAGCTGAGGCACCCTGACTTAAATTTAAGTCCTAGCTCTTCAAGACAGGTGGAATTGTAAAATGTTATTTTTCAGCAGTGGTTGGAACTTGAAAACTTTAGCAATATATGTTTCTCACAAGGAAGCCATGAAATATAATCAAACAGATAACTTGTATTAAATATCTTGCATATTCTCAGAAATCCTTATGACTGACTGCATTCACAGATGTTGAACTTATAAGTTGAGGGATTCTATAAAAACATTCTTGGTTGAGTTTAGAACTAAGAAAGAGGCAGGAGCCAAGAAGTTGAGAAAAAAACATCTATCTGTCGATATTTGCAGCCCCGTAAGACCATGTCTGCAGCCATATTCTTCTTGCTATGCTGTATGGGCTTTACATGTGGGCTTTAGATGTGAGTAGTTTGCAGACCTGTCCCAGAGTCACTGGCAGTGCAGGGTGAGAAGGTGTCTACCTCGTCCTTCAAGGGCAGAGGGAGAGGCCTGGAGAACCCACACAACCTCTGTGGATATGGAGGTCTGCAGGGAGGGGAGAGGCAGCACATGCTGGGCTCTCACTACCAGCTACCAGGCAGGTAATTCCCGACTTATTTCAGCAAAGAATAGCCACAGTGCTCCAGTTCTGGGGCAGCCCCTGTCCTGTCTCCTACTTCCCATGAAGATGGACACAGCACTTCCTCTCAGCCCCTCCGAAGGTGCCACCTGGACTTTACTGATAATTTCATGACGGAGCTGGGTGTACAGTGGGGAGTTACATGGCATTCTCTCCATGTTCTTTTCAAGTCAAACATCCCCTACCCCCTGACCAGACATTTCATCCAGTGAGATCAGTGACTGGATCTCTTCTCATTCCTTCTACCATCCTTTAATCCCCTTTCAGAACTTCCAGCCCTCTCTATGCAAAGAGGGTTTGCTTATTCAGTGTCCTTTACATTTTCACATTTACACTTTCCACTCTCTTCAGCAGAGAAGAGACACTTTAGGGGTCAAGACCTTTAGGGAGATGACTTAAAGGCAGAAGGGAGTTAGTTATTCTACATCTATAGCTACACACCTGAACATACACATACATGGACATACATGTGTGTATATATACACATATATGTGGTTGTGAGATGTTAAAATTTAAAAGGAGAAACATAACATTAAAATTTCTAAATCTTTCATTTTGTTGTGGTTTGTGTAGAATTAACAAAATAGTTACAAAATCCCATGTGTTGTAGGGTTGCCCAGCACCCTACAGCTTCATCTTTAATAAGTGGTCTCTGGGGTGTTTCTTGTCAGGGGACAGGTCC